GGACCCTCTCCATAAGCCCGTCCCGTCTCAACCCTCCTCTCATTCCCCGACGTTGCTTCCCTCCTCTGCATCCCCGGTGTGTTTTTCTCCAGAGTTCAGGTGGTATATCAGCTGGTCTGGCCACTACGCCGGCCGGCATTAGCGGGATCAGCTGTTCTCCAGAGTAAACAAAGGCGGCGTGTTCCGGTGGAAGCGGCATAATAAAAACAACACGTAGAAAAGCTATGTGCGCATGGGCGAAAGTTTTTAACTTTCTTAACTTTGATTCTCTTTTGTTCGTTCTTGTTTCTTCACTGTAACTATGTGAAGTCCTTTCCTCTCTAACAAGGTTGTTTTCAGAGAGTTTTCGTGCTTTTCTACGTGTTGTTTTTTTTATGGCGCTTCCACCGGAACACGCCGCCTTAGTTTACTAGGTACAAGTGCCTACACTTTCATCGTCTACCTTTCCATGACCATGCAGTTGTGGCTAGTTGTTCTTCAGCTGGATGTGCAAACTCCCATACAAGTACTATTTGAAAATGATCACCGCATTTGCAGCGAACATTTTGAGGAGGATGACTACAGAGACACAACCCAGCGGGGCCGGCTGAAGACTGCTGCAACCACTGTTTAGGTAATGTTATATTCATAACTTCATTTAGCTTCGTTTTGGCAGACACAGCTTGAGAAGGGATGTGCGGCAACGCATTTTTGAGGGGAAATAAACTTTTTTTCGTCGCAAAGGCATTATCTCCGTGATCGCATAGTACTTGTATGGGAGTTTGCACATCCAGCTTAAGAACAACTAGCCACAACTGCAGTATCTCATGGTCATGGAAAGGTAGACGATGAAAGTGTAGGCACTTGTACCTTCTCATTCTGTTGCCACCATTTGGAAAGGCACAAATGCGAACCATTTCTTCTCCACAGTAGATCAACAACACACGTTATTCTTACTCCAAGCTTCTTCCCTTGTGAACACCTCCGATCTCCACTCATTTCTTCTTCTGCATTTACCTGCAACAAGAAATCCCACGGGACTTCAGCGCCAGAGCAGTCCCGCGCTGAAGTCCCGTGGGATTTCACTTGTTGCAGGGAAACACAGAAGAAGAGATTGTTGCAGGAAGTGTGCAAATCGGGGAGTGGTGTGTGAAGACATGGACATTTTTGAGGGGGAAATAAACTTTTTTTCGTCGCGAAGGCATTATCTCCGTGATCGATTATTCTGGGCTTTCAGTGAAGCGAGCGGTGGAAAAACAGGTAGGCGACAGTACTGTTTTGTACGATTTCTGCACAACGTATGAGTTGAAAAGGCATGTTGTTGTCACGTAAGGGCCCTGAACATGTTGCACAAACATTTTAACTGCATTTTGTGTCTGTTAAGAGGAGCAAAAGGCACTCTTTAGTCTATGCCCCCAAGAAGTGTATTATAACTAACTGGGAGCTCTAGCATCTCCAGTTTGCTAGAACCAATTCTGGTCGTTCTTTTTCCTATCGACAGTACTCGGTGACCTCTAGTGATCCAGACTAGGGTAAAAATCTGCCAAAGTTCCCCTTTAACTCACCCTATCTTGTGGCTGAATTGCATTCTGATTAATGAAGGCTAAAGATATTGGTGAAGTGGATCTTTCCGATACCAGTTTGTGGAGTTTTCATAGCAAGCAAATCACAAGTGTAACAGAAAGCGTTAATGCTAGTTTACATTTAACTGCATGAGTAGGCCTTTTATTAAAATAATGCAAACCTGTTTGCCAAAGTTACATGTATCTCTACCTCTTCTACAATTAATATGTAATACTGTAATATAAGTCCACATAAAATGGTAAGTGTGAGCTTAGCTCTGACATTAACCATTAAATTAATAGATATGTCTCCTTGTCTCCAATTCAGTGGCAGCAGGTTGTCTAAATGTGTCCAATAAGCAAAATGGAAATTTGAGTTGCAACTCATTGATTCACAACCATGCTAGCAGCAGGTTGTGTGGTCCACTGCTTTGGTTTCTGACCAAATAATTGCAAAACTGGCATTCTCACTAGCCTTAGCTGTACTCGCAAATGTTAGCATGCTAACACACCAAACTAAGACGGTGAACACTGTAAACATTACAACTGCTAAACATCAGCCGGTCAGCATTGTCACTGGGAGCACGCTGACGCTGGCATTCAGCTGTGCCGCCTCAGAGCTGCTAGCGTGGCTGTAGAGTTTCAGTGTTGTCAAGAGAAATATTGTGATTTTGGTGACGATAAAACAAATGTATCGGTAGCAGGTGGTTAAAATGGAAATGTGAGATGCAAAAAAAGAGTGATTTAATGTAATTTTGGTCATGATAACATCAGTAACATACCTGCCGTCATCTACACCTCATCAGATATCCAAGCTGGATGGCCTGCCGGCATAGACACCCGTCCTAGTTCTGCAGCCATGGGGAATAGTTACATCAGACCCTGTGTATTGATTAAATTGAAATGAGATGAGCGGCTTATGTGTGTGTGACTATGGGTCAGCCTCTCACAGTCTATACATACACACAGGCCCATTCTGGTACTCGCAGGGTATGCTTACATCACTACCAGCGTCTCCTGACGCCTGTCACCGTTGCAAATTAAGCCGTTCTGATCATTTTACAGTCTGCCGGCCGTCGAGACAGGCGCTTATGTAACAATGCAGATATGTGTGCCTATAATGTTCCAGGTGGTATTAGTTAATATGCGAGGTAAAAGGGACCAAGAAGGTTAAAACTTAGATGTGGGTAAACCTTGTATTGATGAGACCAGGGTGAACTGCACACACTGTTATCTGTCCTGCAGCTAAATCAATCTCATCTAGGTCATTCATCGCCAGCTGACTGCCTCAATGAGTGAGTGTGTGTGTGTGTGTGTGTGTGTGTGTGTGTGTGTACAGCACGGACCAGTTGGGAGGGGGGTTGTCACTGTCCTGAAATGAGATTCTGTGGCCTTAAAACAGGTGGGAGATCAATACTACTTTGCTGTGTGTGTATGAAGGATGTGTATAGCCACTGAGCATGTTTACCTGCTGTCAGAAGCGATGTCGTGCTTCACACTGCCAGTAACAATCATTATGTCCCTTCATCACTGTCATCATGCCTCACATGTTCATCCCTCTACATTTACTACACTGACAGATGCAGGTGGTTAAATAGGTTTCTTGGCTCTTTCTATGAATCACCATATTCCCTGATCAAATGACTCAGGAAGTCATATAATTTAATGCCTTAAATGCATCTTGGAAAACTCTCGGAGACATGAAATTCATCCAACAATCGCAGATGATGATCCTCCAAAATCCCTTTGAAAGCAAAAGTCTTAAGATGAGTCAGAACTCAGCAACTGTGCTTGCTTTCAAGGCCAGCACTCTCAGACTTTAAGGGAAGAGAGTCTGTGTTTTTCCTTTCCCAAATGGGAGACACAGTATGTCTTTTTGGAAATGAGCTCCTCAATTTCAAATATTGAAAGTCATACTTTGTGTTTACTGCTGGCTGTATATATTGCTAATTCAAGAAATCCCATTTAGTTTTCTGTTTTATACACTGTACTTGCATAACTGGCTCCAGATAAAACTGAATCTTGAAATGAAACATGTGACATGTATGACCAGTTTACATGTTAAGGGAGCGGTTCAGAATATTTTAATAATTTAAAATGAGATTGAAGCCTTTGACCAGATCTGCAGATGGAGTTCCGAGGTATGGAGGTCTGTGATAAGCACTCACTTGTCACGACGTACCACTCGAAGTTGAACTTGAATGCCAACCAGGTCTCCACTTGCAGTGTTGAAAAGATGAACTCAACGACCACACAAGATTTGTGGTTATCTTTTTCTTTTCCTCAAACAGCTAAAGCCTCGTGTTAGCTTTGCCTGAACTCTGGAAAGCACTTTTGCACAGGGTGGTATGTGGATTTTGTTCCCCATCACTTACTGTACACTAAAATGGCAAATGGCATCAGGAAGGGATTTCTTTGTCAATGTTCTCATCAGGAACAACAGCAACCAATAAATAAAATGTGAATCTATTCAGTAAACTGTCTGATTATTTAATCCATTAACAACTTATCACTTGATTTTATAGCAAATTGACTATGCCCTGATTGTACAGCCTATCAATATCAGAGTATAAAACATACAGCATAAAATCACCACAGGCTTTCATCAAAACGGATGCTCTTCCAATATACCACCTTAAATGTTAACACTACCTTTAATCAGAGATTTGGACTTTGACTCTAGTCACTGTTTTGATGCCTTTAACTTGACTTTACAGAAAATAAATGACTTGAGACTCGACTTGGACGTTAAAGACTTGTGACTTGACATGAGACATGGTGAATGACTCGCGTAACGCTCGCTGGTCTGTGAGCGCACTCTGGGACACTATGGATCAGATCATATGGATTCAGGAGTTTTGCATGTGAAGGAAAAAACCTGTCCATCAAAGATTACTGACAACCAGACTGCAACATCAAACGTTAACGTTGGCATTGTAACGCCATGCTTTTTGAACAGGTCAGATAATAATAATAACATCATTATTAAACATGCTAATGACTCGACTTACTAATGGTTGGCTGGTCTTTAGACCTCACTTGGCTGAAAGGACCAAGATGTAGGACGTAGTGGCATCTAGGTGAAGCTGCAGCAGGTTGCACCCAACTGAATACTAGTCACATGACTTTAATATGACGCAGGGAATTGATGGGGTAAAAATATTCCTGTACAGATTCTGCTTAAATATTTTAATAGGGAGAAACATCCATCCAACCCTGGGAAGGATTGATATTTCAAAGTACATATTTTTAGTAACATTTAAAGAACTGGCCTAATTAAATTGCACTTTTAAGTAGAAGGTGTCAGAGCGAAGAGGAATAAATGAGCTCTTACGGTTCAGACTCTCCAAATAACACTTACCTTAAATGTCAAGGAGAAGTAAGGAAGTTAAAGCTCCCCTCCCTCCCTCCCTCTCTCTCTCTCTCTCTCTCTCTCTCTCTCTCTCTCTGGTAGTCACCGGCTCTCAGTGCGCTCAGAAGAAAAGGAGGAAGCGGGGAGAGAGCAGCGCAGCGGCCGCCCGTGTACTCAACTGAGGGACAAGATAACACAAACCCAAACAAAACTACCGACAGCTAACCGTCCGCTGGCCGTATCGCCTCCACTCGGAACAACGCACGAGCACCGACTGTTTGCAACCCCAGAAACGGTTGTTGTTTTTGTTTTTTTGTTTTTTGTTTTTCAGCCACAAACTTGCGTCGCTCCGTTAAAGTACAAATAAAAGACACAGATAGTCGCAGAATGGCAGACTCGGCGGCGGCTAACAGTGACGGGGAGGACGGACCCCGCGAGCCCATGCGGGGCTTCGCGCGCCAGGGAGCCCTCCGCCAGAAGAACGTGCACGAGGTGAAGGACCACAAATTCATCGCGCGCTTCTTCAAGCAGCCCACCTTCTGCAGCCACTGCACCGACTTCATCTGGTGAGGAGCCGACACAGGGACGGATGGAGGGGCAAATGCATTGGTTTTAAGTTGGTTTAATGCTTTTATTTATTGGTGCTGTTTTGGGAATAAGGTCAAGATGTTGGTAGGCCATGTAATAAGATGTTTTTTAAAAAAAAATAGTTTAGAATACATTACGGGGTGCACCAAAGCAGGGGGCAGGACAAGTTAATGATTTGATGACACTTCAAATGAGAAAAGTAGAGAGGAAGGGAGAGATGAGGCCTAATGATATGAAAAAGACAAAATGGCTGTAGTGTTTGATGGTATTACATCATTAAAATACAGCAGGAATAAAGAAAGTGGGAGGGTTGCACAGTTTCCTCAAAATAAACATCGATTTCAGCGTTATTTGTGTACTTGTTGATGCTATATGTGTAAGGCAGGGCAGAAGGGAAGACGGAGAGATATGTGGGCTGCACCAGTAAAGAAGAATAGCTGCAGACCATTGTTTGATGGTATTAAGTAGGCAGAGGAACTGAGAGGCTGAGGAAAAATGACACAGGTTCTCCAAAAGCAGTGAGAAGCATTGGATTGCACCGCCTGAGCAGTAACGAAAGTGTTCAACATGGGTCAAACGCTGACACAACTCGAGCCTTCCTCCTCCTGCTGCTCCTTACACTCCTCCTCTCTTCATTTTCTCCTCTCAGTCACCTGTGCAGACAAGTTACCATGCAGCCCACCAGGGTTTACTAGACAGTGACAGCGCTGGGGTTATTAAATGAGTTTCCGGCTCTATCTTGGCCTAAATTGTCCCGTTTATTATTATCTGCGCCGTGCACTATTCCCAAAACGGCCATTATTTAAGTCCTGTGATGGGCTTTTTAATTTGTGAATGGCTAAATGATTTGACCTAGAAGATTGTGTGTGTGTGTGTGTGTGTGTGTGTGTGTGTGTGTGTGTGTGTGTGTGTGTGTGTGTTCATAGGAATCAAATGAGATGGTCTCACTGGTTGTAAATACCCCTAAAGACAGGAACACTGTGCACCCTGTATAATTGCTTAACCTGTTTAGATCATCAAAAAGTCTATATCTATCTATCTATCTATCTATCTATCTATCTATCTATCTATCTACTGTATCCACCTGTCTATTTGGGTCAATAAGCATAATGAAAAAGAACAATGAGAGCACTGAGTGATTTTACACCCCTAGAGATCTGAATGATCTATTTGTAGCAACAATACGAAAATGAGCAGGACTGAATGTGTGTGTGTGTGGACGTAAACCTGCAGCAATCCCAGCATTCTCCATACCATACCATTGACTGGGTGTGGTTGACCATTTTGCCCCGGGGCAGCAGTAGGCCTATGTGTGAGTGTGTTTGTGGACCTAAGTTGACCTCAGGACATGTACTGTGCTGTTTGCACAATAATCAAATGTCCTGCCTGCCTGCATACTTCAGTGTCTGTGTGTGTGTGTGTGTGTGTGTGTGTGTTTTAATTTGTGCTGTTTAGTGCTGCACACAAACGGCAGACAGTATTTGACTTTTGCCTCTACACAAATGTCTTAGAGGAAAGGGAGATGGTTTCAGAACTCCTTTTTCAAGTTATTTCTGTGTGTGTGTGTGTGTGTGTGTGTGTGCGCGAGAGAGAGAGAGAGAGAGAGAGAAGTGTATGTGCGTACACACGTCCATGCCTGCACACCGTTCAACCTGTTTTTTGTGTATGCTCTCTCCACAGGGGTTTCGGCAAGCAGGGATTCCAGTGTCAAGGTAGGTGGTTTAAATGCTTTATCACACACACACACATACACACACACACACACACACACACACACGCACACACACACACGCACACGCCATTGCTAAATGATCCAAGGCTAACTTTGTCACCCCAACCATGTCTCATTATTTTCTGTTTCTCTCTTTTTCCACTTTAATTATCTCTCTTTCTCTTTTACCAGTCTCATAGTTAATCTCCCTAATCCTCTCTCCTCTCCTTACTTCCTCACCTTTGTCGTTTCCTTCCACTACCTGCTTCTCTTTCTTTCTCTCCATCTCTCTACTCCCGTCTCCAGATTTCTTTCCCTTTTTTACTTTCTTCCCTTTGTACCCGCTAGTAACTCTTTTTTTTATCTTGACTTCCTTTCTTCTTCCTTTCCTCTCAAGTGAACACTAAGGTTTTGAGCTTTGAGCTCTTGTTTCTTCATAAAAACATAAAACGTTCACTTATTTTGACAACGACTGCAATCTGAAATAAACGAGGGCCTGCGATTGTTTTTTTCATTAATATTATTTTCAAGTGAGTTTTAATGAACACCATTTCCGAAGCTCAAATCTTCACTCAAAACGCCACTGGCTTGACAGGTCAACCTCCCTGATGTGCAATTAATTCAAAGCATAGCTGTTTTAAAATAGCCTAACAAAGAATCATGAGCTCTTACTTCAGTCTGGGGGAAAAATAAAACATTTTGAACAGAAAGAACTACATATTCACTACTAGAAGAAAATGTGGTACCTTTTTAAAATGCAGCTATTGGTTTAGCTTTTCATATGAATAGAGCCATTTAGGATCAGTAGAAAAAGTCCCTGTAGGGAAACACACAGCGACAGAGGCTGGAAGTGGAGGCAGGAATTTGGTGCTTGCTTCATAGTGGAGCATACTGTATGTATAGATTTAGATATGGATAATAGGAAGCTGACTAAGGATGTGTAAGTGATTTCATTTTGGATAAATTGATCGATGACAACAGAGTTCTCTTCCTGTGACGATAAAGCATAGCTAGACATCTGATTTTGTGGCTTTTTGCTGGTTTCATTTACACAGAAAACAGTTAAACCACTCTGACATGCCATACTGATGAAGAAAACTTCTTTCCTCTCTTCTCCCTCCCTGTCTTTCATCCATCCATCCATCTTCATACTGTAGCGTAGAGATGGATTCAGTGTCGGCTTTGTAGGAGTCGCTTCAGGAAATGACATAAGCTATTAGTGAAACATATCCAGATGACAAAAATGTTATGTGTTGGGCTTTTGTCTTTTTTTTTTTTCTTATCAATTTGCTTGAAGTCTATGTTTTTTTTCCTCTTGTATTAACAGCCAACTGGATGTGTTCAAGGATTTTTCACGTCTCCTAGCAACAGTGAAATATTCAGACGCAACCGTCTATATGCTGTAGGATGGACGAGGTGCTGTTCAACACAGCAGTGGGTTAGCTGGTAATTAGCCCTTGTGTATGTGTAATGGGTCAATAGTGTCCTCTAGGAGAAGTATCCGCTGCACTGTAGGGACCCTTGGTGCCTCTGGAGAGGAACGGGTGTGGCTGTAGGTGTTGGGGCACCTATGCACTCCGATAGAAAAGGGCACTGGTTAATGGATGGATAAAGCAGGAAAAAGCAACAGTTTTCACTTACCTTCTTTCATCAGGTGTGTGCGTGTGTGAGTGTGTTTGCGTGTGTGTATGAGTTGCTCTGCGACCCATTTGTCCGTCTGGGGCAGGGTATCGCTTCCCCAGAGCTCAGGGAGAAAGGGAATTCCTCTGCAAGGTCACACACACACGCACACACAAACACACACACACACAAATATAGTGTGTGGGTGTGCTTTGTCTTTCAGGTTTGTTTGACAGTCACATAGTTCTCACAGAACTAAATGGGGGGGTGTTTGTGTGTATGGAGTGTGATACATTGTAGTGTATGATTAGATGTATTTATATCTGTGTAAAGATAGTTAAATGAAGACTTTTTTATATTAATGTATGAATAATCCAAACAGAATGTGAGTGAAATCATGTTTATGGCCTGCATGTTTACATGTCTTTCAATGAAAGGTCAACTCATCAATAAGACCTGGCGGGCTGTGTATACTACAGCTCCTCTGTCTGTTGTGAGTGTGTTTGAGACCTGAATGGACAAATCAGTGCCATTACTGTCTTACATGGTGTTTATGGATTGTTTGTACTTGCTATACCTGAATCAAATCTTAGCTTCTAATGTTATATTCCACTGTTCTCTCTTAAATCATATTTTCTTCCAGTTTTTGTCTCTTTACTTTTCTTATCACTTCTCCAAAAGAGGAAGATTATTGCAGCATCTGTTACTTGTTTCCCTGCAACTCACGTATTATGACAACGAAATCCCTTCACTGTAAAGATATTGTAGCTGAGCTATTCTCATACAAAGTCCCTACATGATGGTTGAGGTCGTAATGATCATAACGACCACTGTTTCCAGATGGCATGCAAGGCTGACTTAAAAAAAAGGCCACAGTTTCCTGTCCAGACATGAATATTGTCTACTTAAATTCCTGCTTGGTGATTGGTACTGTTGACCTCAATAGTTAGATGGCCTTCAAAGCAAATGTTTAGGTTAAAAAAGAGCTTCATTAATAGAATTTGAGATAGTGACAGTTGTTCCTCTTGGTCTTCATTCTGCAGAGTCACGGGTGAAAAAAGGAAGTTGCCTTTGTTAAATCAATGAGATATATTTTCAGTTGCTTTTTGTTAACATGAGTAAGGTGGATAGACAGTGCTAGTTTACATACTACGGGTACATACAGGTCCTGCTTTCTGGCGTATCAATTCGAGCTGCATGCTGTAGATTCAGCGCGGAGCAGAAGGACGTTGGGGGGCTGGGTAGAGAACTCAGCACCCCTGAAAGCAGCCTTTAACAGGTTTCAGAAAGCAGCAGCAGCTTGTGGTAGTATGCATGACTAAGAAGGATGTGGTGTAGATAGTTGTGTTGTCAGTGTTTCACACATGATCTGATGTTGTTTAGGTCTGCTGACTGTCCGCTGATGTGATGCAAATAACGTATATTTCCTGTCTGAACTGACAGAAAAACTGAATTGCCTTGTTTTATTTCAGCAATATTTTAACTTTCCATTAGATACCAACCAATATCTGCTGTCGAGAGAACATGTGGTACAGATAGTAATTCAAAAATATATTCAAAGATGACCATAGCCATCTGAAGCCTATAGGAGGTGAGTTTTAGATTCTAAAAATTGAGACTTTGTCACTCACCGTCCACCCTAACACCTTTATTTTCATCTTGTTGATTGAAGACGATGTTTACATGTGTTGTTGGGGCTTTTGCATTTATCAGATAGGACAGTTGAAGAGTGACAGGAAAGGAGGAGAGAGAGAGAGAGAGAGAGAGAGAGAGAGAGAGAGAGAGATGATGAAACGTGGCAAGGGGCCACAAATCAGACTTGAACTAGGGATGCACGATAATTTTTTTTTAATACCGATAACCGATAACTTTCAGCTCCTAAAGGCCGATACCGATAACCGATAACAGACACACATATACATATATATATGATCATGACCTAAGATCATGACATTAATACTATGAACAAACCCAAAAACACTTTTGACTCTTTAAATGGAGATATTAATTTTTTCCAATGAAAAACTATTGGCAAGCCTTCAAAAAAAAAAAAACCCCTAAAAAAGAAAAAAACGGAAAATAAAAAAAAAAAAAAAAGTAAAAAAAAAAAAAAAAAAAAAAAAAAAAAAAAAAAATAATTAAAAAAAAAAAAAAAATTTTAAATAAAAAAAAAACTCAATAATAAATAAAACACAAGTTACACTTGTCTGTGTAAACAAACTGAAAAAGTGCATTCCATAGTAACAAAACATTAAGTTTAAATGATTTTGGCTTATGGTTCCATTCAAATGAATACCTTTTCACTAAAGTAAATGAGGTTCAGTTGTTTTATCGATCGAGAGAGAGAGACCGTCGAAGCGATGGCTATGTTTCAGGTGACTTATCAGGTTTGACGTATTGAAGCTCATGCTACTTTTACCTCCTCGTGGAACTTGCTTGGAACATTTGTTACAAATAACAAGCGACCTTTCTTCTTCAGAAACTTTGTAAAAGTCCCACACAATCGATGCCGTGTTGTCTGTTTTCAAACTTAAGCACGCTGTGCTGCATTCACGGTGTAACGGAAATTCCCTGTTCCCACGTTTGCTAGTCGTTCTTTCGGCCTTTTTAAGTTCAAGTTTCTATTGTTTATGTGTAACATGTGGAAAAATACTGTGGATATCAATTCAAGTAAGCAACTACCAAAATTATGACCGAGTTAACAAGTTATTTTCCGACATCCCAGTCAGAAAGAGTTTTTCTGATTATGCCAACGTCACTTGAACGCAGCATTCACTGCAGGCTATTCAGGTCTCATAGTGGGAGTGGGGCATTGCCGTGCCGACAAAGTTATATATGTTATCGGGGCTATTCGTCATGATATCGGACTTATCGGAATGACGTAATAATTTCCTGTTTTGCCCGATAACTATCGGCCCGATAATTATTGTTCACCCCTAACTTGGACGCATATCCCCTACAGCAAGGACTCAGCCCTGGTACATAAGGCATCAGCTCTACCAGGTGACCTACTAGGACACCCCAACCCTGATGTTTCGAAGGTGGTCTGCAAAGTGTGTTGCAGTGAGCCTGGCTGGGTTTTGCATATTGTGTAACTCTATATACAGCATTGCTGGTCAGAGCAGCTCACTGCCTCGGTGTCGTTGTAGCTGCAAACAGTACACTGTAATACCTCAGTGGGATTCTGCTGTTTTCCATACACTAGAAAGAGTGTAGGACTAACTGGGTGGTAATAGCTTGTATTACATAATGTGGTGTTTCTAAGAAGTGTTTGTGAGTTTACAGAATATGTCATACTTTTTTGTGTTGGGAATTTGCGTGCGCATGTGCTTCATGTTCCATTTAATGAGCTGGTGAGCGCTTATTTCCTTAATGGCTGTT